CAGTTCATCTCATACGAAATTTATAGAGTGACTCATCTTTGTACGATAATTGAAGTTTATACTAGCAAAATAGACGTCACTGACTGTTTATATAGGTTACGGACAAATTTTATTTTCTCACAGACTGATGACCTTATTAAATTAAGTTTCATTTAAGGTAATTCGCATAAAATAAATATTTTTGTGCTTATCTCGATGGCTACATGGAATATTTTAACAAAAATATATGATTTAGAGCTGTTTTTTGAGGTTAGAACCAAAATATGACCTTATGCTAAAATGCATATGCTTAACTTTTTCAAAACAACCAAAAAGAAACATATTTACACATTTTTTGGCTTGCAATATGATAAGATTTCAAGATATTTGCTTATTTTAACATTTTTTGCGGTCTTCATCGACAGTCAGAGTCATGCCATCAGCCGCCATTTTTTATTTTCAAAAAGAGCCACTCATTATTGTAAATTACAGGCTTCAAGTTACAAAATAGTGATTTATTATAATTATTTAGCTGCTTCCATTTTTGGACAGCAGGGGGGTAAATATTAAAAAGAATGCCCCATATCCATACATACATACATACATACATACATACATACATACATACATACATATATATATATACACATATTTATATCTGGTAAAATACTAGTGGAACGAGTTGCACTGTACATTTTAAGAAGTTGGTAAAGTCTTTATAGCTCAAAGTAAAAAAGACACGGAAAAAAGTTTAAAAAATCAGTTTTCCATTTAAAATGCAGAGAATAATTTAAGATCTCCGGTGGCACGTGAATTTAAAACCCAAATATATAGGTATAGTAGGGTGTCTGTTATTTCTTAAATTCTTTTTTTTTATCTCACTCCCAGATTGTTCTAAAGTACACACCAATAAAGTAAGTTACCATTAAAAGTCAGAGTGATCGCTTTTAAATTCACGTGTCACCAGAGATTTTAAGTTTTCCCCTGCATGTTAAACGGAAAAACTAATTTCTTAAACTTTTTTTCTTGTTTTTTCTACTTTTAGCCATAAAGACTTTACCAACTTCTTAAAATATATAGTGAAATTCGTTCCTCTAGTACTCTTTTATGTATAAATACTTAAATAAATGGAAATTTTAGCCTTGCATCTTATTTTTAACGGCCTAAATGGGGCTAATTAGCTGGAAAANCTTGCTAACAGAAAGTATTAAAGCAAAAACATTTATTTTGATGTCTCCGAAAAAAAATGTTGACAACACATATATGTTTTAAAACATAACATAACGTTAATAAAAGAAAGGAAAACAAAATGATAAACTAAAAAAAAAAAAAAAGAAATGAAATCTACCATGATGTAGATTAAATCCATTAAGTACAAAACCATCCATGAAGCGGCATAAGCCTTATCCATCTTCACTATCAGAAGGACACATGAATCTTCTTTCGAAGTCACATATGTTTATGGATATCCTTCGGAGTTTGTCCTACGGCTTAAAGCAGTGAGGAAGTGTAAAATTAATAAATTAGTGATCAAAACTGTTCTGAAAACTTTTAAGAATAGTTGAAGCTACATATTTTTCAAAAATACAAATGGATTTTAGAATTCTAAGAGTACGGGTGAATTTAAAAACTATGTACTAAAATCAAAAGTCTGTGTATATAATTTATAAGCATTTAGTTCTACGATTTAATCAAATAAGATTTATGGATAATATTAATGCCAGAGCGAGAGCAAATGAGGTGAATATATATAGCATATACATGGTTGCAGAGTGAAAAGACTCAGATGAAAAATCTTATGTCGTCGTTGCTTTGGCTGTGCGTTTAGCTATGCAGCTATATAGCCGACATTTCTAGTCCTCCTCGTGCAGGCATACATTTAGTATAGCCCTACCATGCGTTTCAAAAATATGCACCTATATAGACATTTTCATGTGAATCTACTTCTTTCCGCCCAGGTACATATTCTGACCGTGCTTCTCAAATAGTGAAAAAAATGGGCGCCAGGTTCAGCCACTTGCCCACGGCGGGGTGTTGAAACTACTGGAAAAATAAGGGCACACACCGTAGCAAGGCAGTCAGCAATCTCCCTACTAATCTCTGGCAGTGTATTAGAAATGTCGTGCTCATGATCTAGAAACTAGTAGTACCATCACGAGTGATGGTGTTTTACAAGAGTTTACGTAAATTGGCCGATTGTAGTTGAATTAGCGACCGTTCTAAACATTTACGTGTGATTTAATAAATTATTTACTTTCTGGGGTCTGAAAGGACTGATAGTGTTGCGAGTAACAGTGTGCTCGTTCATTTTATTTCTACGCTGAAAGGAAAAAAGAAAAAAAAGAAGTGACTCCAAAAATAGCTTAAAATGAGCCCGGTTTTGCAACCTCAAGAATCGTGCCAAATTGTTTATCAAATCATCGCTTATCGTTTGATCATCCTTTTGGTAAATTTTTAAGAGGTGATCAGCTTTGGTTTCTTATATATAGGAAGTATAAGATATTGAATTATTACTAATGACCGTAAAAATCAGGTTTACAGCGATTCACACAAGATAAAAAGTGCTTTTGCGTAGCTTACCAAACCACTATATTATTATGTTTTTTGGGTCACTGATTCTGAATCCCAGGTCAGATGACCTTTTTAATGGATGGTTCAAGGTCATTTAAAGGTGAAATCTGAATGAATGGTAAAAAACTCTGAAATCACCTCAAGATAAGTTTTTGTAGTCACTGATCATGCTTGTGAAGTCAGGTGTGCAAAATTCAATGTGCCTAATCAGTAATTTCATTTGAAAATGATCAGAACAAAATTTTATTTTAACGTCATAAACTACAAAGCTTAATTTTTTTATAGTTATAGAGACATTCAATACATCTGCGTTAGGAAAACTTATAACATCATATTGACCGTATCCCAAGTACCATATAATAGTAGCAATATGTCTACAGCATTCAACTGTCCTTGAACTACTCTCACATGTGCAAAAATATTCAACGATAGCCAATCTACCTCTCTCAGCTCGATCAACAAGTACAAAAATATAATGGCTTTTTCCACTTCTATAGCGAGATTGTATATGTGGTCTCACGAGCAGTGGATCGGTAACGTTAATGCTATACTTAGAAAAATCCAAGCCAGTGGTTTTATGTCTTGCATTAGAATTAAATTTCTGTACTAAAAATATATCTTTCACCACATGTTTGGCGTAGTATGACGTGGAATTTTTTAATTGATAAGGGCCCAGGCAAACTTCATACAAATCGTCCAATGAAAGCTGAGAAAACTGCATTAGCAAATTATTTTATTCACTATTCAAAGAAGTGAAAGGAGTGTCATCGAATGAAACTCTTTGTTGAAAAAGATTAAGATCAGTGACAACTACTTTTAATTTATTCGGTACAATTAATCTTGATTTCATAGTTTTGCCCTCATTTTCTTATTCATTATCAGATAGAATTGGTTTGTGAAATAAATTAAGTAACGCACAAGCAATTAACAGGTAATTAAAGTCATAGGACAGTGTGGCATTAAGAGCTGATACAGCAACTTGAGTTTCTTTTTAAGTCGCCCAAATACTTGCTCAATTATCCATCGCACCTTGGTAACAAATCTGGCTAGATTAGCTTCATACGTATCGCACTTTCCAGTTTCAGGAATATATGCTCTAAGCTTTTTGTCATCTTTTAAAAAATCTATTACATCTCTAAATCTATTATCGACTAAGACAACATTATTTTTATAAAGCATGGATAATAGCTCATCATATCTTTGAAAGCAATCATTCAAAAGCTGTGTATGGTTATGGTTCGCATTAAAAGGACCCAAGACAAATAGTATAAATCCGTTTGGCGTGCATCCCACCATGGGTTCAACAAGTGGCAATTTCTTTCGCTCACCCCACAACTGCTTCTGACCAGCAAAGTTTTTTGATTTTTGAGCTATCCGATAAATGACATCAAAAATAATACAGCCCTTATCTTCAGGTAAATTGGACAATTTTTTTGCCAATGGAGTATTATTAACTATTATGGTCTCACGATTGGGAATGTTGAGAAAGTAAGGAATCAAATTTTGAATTAAATCGTTTCTTGCTTTTTCTAAATGGTTAGAAATTAATGAAATACTTTGGTATCCAAAGAGATAAGCCAATTGTTCATGTGACAGTGCCGTACGAATTTTACACAAAAAAATAGCTAGGTCTTTTGATTCACAGTTCTTAGTGAATTCACATATTTTATTGAATTTTTTTTTTTCAAATCCGAAAAAAGACTTCAAAGGCCCATCTGCCATAGTCTCAAGTGTATTGATATCAAATGTACTACCCACATTTTTATTTCGGTTCTGATAGTATTCGAACATGATATCGCTTACAAACTTTTGCTCCGTCGGTGATACTTCTTCAAACATTTGTTTCACTAAAGGCCAATAATCGACACCATTGAAATGTTCAGAGCACATACGAGCATTAGGCTCAACGAAGAACTTATAGTTCATTAAAAGGAGCTCACGCTTATTGCTAGAAACAGCAATTAATTTTGATGGGTTCTTAGACCAAAATGTACATCGACTATGTGAGCTCAAGTCTTTTCTATAAATGGACAGATCTGGCAACGTAGAGTAAGTTTGAATGCCAGGATTTCTTTGAATACAGTCGTAGCACAGTCTGCACATTTTGCTGCCCACAGAAATTGTTTCTATAGCTTCAAGTTTTCGTTTTCTAGTATTATAAATAATTCTGAAATTATTGACAGCCGATAAATTCAGATTGTTGGCACAAAATAATTTTTCATCCTTTGATTTCTTTTTATGCTCACGGCCAAGAGATGTCAAGGAGTAAGGCATTTTTTTAAATAAATCATAGACTGCAAATAATGTAAAAACATTTTGGAAAGATAAATTAAAAGGATGATTAGTTAATTACAATAAAAAGACAAAAGTCTTCGATTATAGTACCTGGACATATATATAGTNGGCACTACACAGGGCACTTAGCACTTGGGAGAAGGAAGGGAAGAGGGATGGGAGGCCTCACAATACTGGGAGAAGGGTTGGGGGAAATTAGGCAATTTTGCTGCGAGAAGGTCGCCTAAACCCTCCTCGAGGAGCATTGCGTGGTGAAAAAGCACATGTGAAAAATCACAGAGGTACTTGCCCGAAAAAGTCGTACTATGGCCGGGAATTGAACCACGGTCTCCCGCGTCTCAATTCTCGACCTAGCCGACTGAGCCACTGCGCGCTCACACACATATATATAGTTAATACTTATTAGTAGTATAATTTATGGATGTTAACAGGTTAGCTTTAATTACTTTAATAATGTATCTCAGGAGCCCATAGGATCAATTCTCATATGAAAAAAGATTATGGATCTTAATAAATACACATTTCTGTATAAAATTATTTTCAAAGTCAGATATAGAGAAGCTGAGACTCAAATCATCTAAAACACTAGTTATTGACTGTTACTCAAAAGGATTCTGAATAATAACATGAAGGTCTGTATACAGAAAATCGAAGAGGCGACTAAATGAATGTGAATGATAAAATTAAGTCCTGTACAAAAAAAACCAACGAGATACATTCCTCGACCAATATAATATTCATTATGAATCAAGTTCATCTTGAGCTGTAAAGATTGCAATTATTTGCTTTTAATGAATCTATATAATTAATTGTAAATAAGTATTATGCACTATACGCAATTGTGAAAGTTGCAGCCATGAGAATCAGTGTTGCAATCTAGTGTAATCTAGATTTGGGAACTTTATTCAGATTCGACCATCAAATAATCTTAAATCATCCGTTAAGTAGGTTATCTGACCTTGGATTCGGAATCAGCGACCCAAAAAACATAATAATATAGTGGTTTGGTAAGTTACGCGAAAACACTTTTTATTTTGTGAGACTCACTGTAAAACTGATTTATACGGTCATTAGTAATATTTCAATATCTTCTCCCTCCTCTATCTAAAAAACCAAAGCTGATCCCCTTCTCAAAATTTACCAGGTGCATGTTCAAACGATAAACAATGATTCAATAAACAATTTGGGATGATTCTTAAGGTTGCAAAAGCAGGCTATTTTTGGAGTCACTCTTTAACAAATTTTGTAAATTTTTAACACTTATTTTTATTCAAACAAGAAGCTCCCATAGACATTTTTTTTATTTGGAGTTCAAATTTATGTCCTATCTTAGCTTATAATAGCTGTTATATTTTTGTTATAATATTTTTATGCGTACATGCATTAAAGTTAATTCAAAATACTTGTGATTCTTTTGTTTACAATTAGTTTACAAATAAAAGTTAAAACTTATTTTGTAGAAAAATATCTAAATTATTCTAAAATAACTAATTACTTTTAGGAAAGATTTTCAAAATTTAAGCCCTCAAGAATCTACCCTGCTTTATATACTTCACTGGATAATTCTTGATTCTTCCGAAGAATGCGTGAGCCAAGAAGAAGTCGAAGATGACCCATTTTATCATCTGTTCTCAATATCAACTATAACGGTTTGTAACCTTACAATGTTTTTTATCTTTAGTGTCCGTTGAAAATGGATCTTTAGAATTAATAGACCTCGTATTTATGTGTAGCTCTTCGTATACTTATTTATTCCCTTGTGCAACAAGCTGAAAGACATTAATTTTGAAAGTTCTCTCCGCTTAGAAAATGGTCAGAAAATATGGTATCCTATTTATAAATGCTGTCATCCACAAGTTGAATGTTTTACTGCTTCATGTCAACCAAAACCGAAGTCTTATTCAAGAGCTGTGGATACAATTCGAAATTATCAAAATACCTCTTACAATGGGTTTGATAGCAGTAAGTATGGTAAAATCTTAAACTTCTATACTACAGTAGATCAAACAAGTAGAAAATAATTTCTAAAAATCTTCTGATGTGTATTACTTTATGCCTAAAAGTCATATTCGTATGTCTCAAGACACCAGTATTTATTTTATAGATTAATTCTGGTCACTCGGCACTTGAAAAAACATCATTTACTCTTGACGTCCTACAAGTAAAGAACTATTGTCTGCTCTGTATCAAGCAAAAAGTATTTTATTTATTGAGGCTTTGGTTAAGAAATTAATTTTTAAATTATTGTGTTGCGGTTATAAAATGTTACGCCTTTCAATAAGTGTAAGTTACTTTATCTTCTAATTGTACTTGTAATGTATAATAAGCCCTTCATAATCCTACATACTGTTAACAGCACAAAGAGAGTAAAAATTAATGCATATCTATGAGGTCCCTACGATCAGAAAACTCAGCATCGATGGTGTGCTGTAGATAAGAGAAAAGTGGCGTCACTGACATACGACGACTGTAAGTGACGACAGTACACCGTAATGTGGACTTATTTGTGTGACAACATATCCGTCACGCTGACGTCAGGAGATCATGAATAGTACATTTGTGTCAATGTGACGCCGATTTTCTCTTAGCTACAGAACGCCATCTATGCTAAGTTTGCAGACCGTAGGAACCTCATATATGATAACACCCCTTGCTTGAATTCTAATGGGCAACAATAATCTGTACATCTGTAACAGTGGTCACTGTACCTTAAAAGTACTTAATATATGAGTAGAATTTTACATTTTTTTTGAGGTACTATTGTAAGAATTAAAAATTTTTCTTTTTAATCTCAAAACGCGATATAATACAAAATCTAACAGAAAAAAAATCTTACAATATATTTCAGCTACTTAGGAAAGCTTTTATTTTTTTTTATATGCAATAAAATCGTCTGATTGGAAATAAAATTATATAACAGTGATAGTACGGTTTATAATAATTTATTTAATCTTCTCAACCTTATATTTTTGGCATAAGCTATGTAGATTAAGCTAAATGAGCCTCTCGAACATACAAGAAGCTAAATAGGTTCATACATAGTATTAACGTTCATTGAAGTAAATTTTTACAAATAAAATAATTCTAACTATTGATGTAAGCCCTTCTTTTAAATTTAATCACAGTGGTAACTGTGATGCTGGTAATTTTATACCTTTAGAGGATGTGCATGAATAAATGTGTCATAAATGACAACATAATAGCCGAGATGTAGTGACATTGCGAAACCTGTTACATAATTTCAGACTTTTAATAACTGTTTCCATACTTAACCTTAAATTAACACAATGTGACAAGACGTAATATACTTTGATAAATAAAATAATCTTGTAACCCAAAAAAAAATTGAAAATGAACTGTAATGATTTCTTAAAAAAATACGTTATTTAAAATTTAATATCTTTTTTGGAATGACAAGGAAAACGACCGAAAGCTTATTTTATTCTTGAAGACTTGTGATTTCGATTATTTATTTGTAACAAATTAGTTTATTAACTTTAGCAACGTAAAGAACATTATAAAAAAGTGGTGAGTTGAAAAATTAAATTTTTGTTATCATTGTGTAAGTATTGATTTAGGACTTTTTTTACATGATAGGTAAATTTTTTCTCATTATTTTAAAAAACAAAGTTTGCTGTATGGCTTGTGGAAGCTTAAACAGTTTTTTTTAATAAACATTTTTGACGACTGATTTTACAATATAAAGGGTTTAAATATGCAGTGATAATAGTTTTAAATATTTTTTTTTGAGGTAAAGTGAAGTATCGTGTTTCATTGGTGTACTTTGTTGCTAAGCAAATGTTATAATCAGTGTAACGTTATAGTAGACGTGGTAGCGTAGTGGAGTTGAACACTAGCCAGTGTTTGGAGATACAAACTTGTTATATAGACCAAACTATTTACACAAAAAAAATGTACACGTTATTTTTAAATCAAAACACAATTAATTGACAGTATACTATTGAACTATGAATTTATTTATAAATTAATACTATTATAATAAATTTTATTTACAGCATTAAAAAAATGTTAAATGAAAATAATTTAGAGAATCTGTAAACAGTTGAATGGACGCATACAAGCGTACAAAGTACCAACAGGTGTTATAAATATGGATAAAATTGTTTTTAAATCCATAGTATTTTATTTTATCCGGTCGAGCTACACCAAATCAATTTGTTTCGTTAAAGTTTTCTTAACGATTAAAATGAGACATTTTAATAATGATTCTATCAGTGTACATTATTTAGAACGACCAAACTTATTTCCCCAAACATTGGCTGGTGCTCATTCTCACTACACTGCTCAGTCAGCCTTCACAGTACGTTAAAAGAAACATTACCTAAGTGGTAAACTATATTGATATAACGTGAAGCTACATTTTTTGACAGAAAACACAAATGAAGAGCTATAATTACTGCCAATTTTAACCTTTTGTAGGGTAAAATAAAGTGTCAGAAGTATTGATTAGAAAAAATTTTTTGACTCTCTGTAGATTGAACAAAAACTTTTTTTTTGTTTATTTCAATAAGAATTATTTCTTTCCCATACAAAAAGTTTTAAATCAAGGTATTAGAAATCATTTATGAAATTTAGTTTTGGAATCAAGCGCTTTTTACAATGTCATTTGCGATGCCCACGTTTTTAAAACTGATTTGGCATAAAAAAATGATTGAAAGTACAAGTCTCTGAAAATAAAGTAAGCCTAAGTACGTTTTTTTGTGGCATTTAAAAAAAAAAGTTACGGAATTCCTCAGAAAAGTCTCATTGATGAATAAATGCATTTTTTTTAAAGTATGCATATTTAGCATCCGAGAATAACTACATACTCTTTGCTACAAAATTAATGTTCAGTGTAAATACACAGTCTCAAAGGTTAATATTTTTCAAAATAATATTATTAAAAGAACTTCATTCTTTGGACTACTTTCGATTTTTATAAACAACGAAGTGATCAATTAAGACTTTTCAGTGATTCTTAAGTAGATTTTTTTAGAACCTAAAACTTTTGATATCAAAGTACTGCTGTAGAAATTATTGATAGAAAATCTAATTATTTAATTAACGTCATTTATAATGGATATCTGTAACAGGGCATGATACTTCCCAGGCTTACGCATCAAGTCTAGTATCGCCCTTCAAACCTCTGTTAGGACCGCATCGGCTGCTTCTATAGACGAAAGGATCCAGATAAGAACACTCGCATTAAGAGAGGAGAAAAAATGTATCAAACTTAAGTACTTCGTACAACAAACATGGCAACACAGAGGGTGATGGATAAAATAATATCCAAACAGTGGTTACGACGTTGGACAACCTCAACCACTTAAGGAAAAAGCAAGCAAAGAATCAGACTCAAACCCCTTGACTCAACCTTACTACTCTACTGAGAGAAATAAAAAATGTTAAGAAATACAAGGAAAGAAACGCCCAGCACAGCTTCTAATCAGAAAAAATCTTAATGTTTCATTGGAAGTAGAAATAAAGCTCCTTTTGTCACCAATTAACCTGATGTAGAAGAAACAAAAAAAATAAAGGCCCTAGATAAAGAAACTGAGGTTATTTATAGGAATTAAACAAAAATCTCTATTAATAAGGCAAATATAAAGGGAGCAGTTGCGCAACAAGTAAGCAAAATAGTAAGAAAGCATACCTTAGGACTAAGCCACAGGTAGTTGTGATCAAACTGACTGTGAAAAAAAAGTATCTTAAAGTACTCGTCTTAAAAAAAATTGACAAAATAGGGCAAAGGAAGAGGCAATTACTGAGTAAAAACCAGTAGTGTCCTTGTTAAAATAGCAAGAAACTCCGCTAAAAATAAGTATAAATTTACTACTGCACTGCGTGACGCGATTGCAAAGAGTAACAGATCAAGACTTTTATCCAACAGTGGACTTTGAAGTTATGCAACGTTAATATAACGGTCCAAAGAAAGCAGATCATGGTAGTGTGGGTGGTTGTGGGCCGCTTCAGTGATAAATAGTACCATAGTCTTGTTGCGCGATGATTGTCTGGCAACATCAGGAAAATCAGATAGCTTTTATCACGATATCCACGACTGTTACTGACATCCTCAATCGACAGAACCACTTGCGACTTAGAAGATGGGTATACTGCAGTTTGGCCGTAGCAAGAAAAAGACTTAAACACTGCTACAGGTTCCTAGGCTTTGGATATCTTACAGGCAACTGTAGAGGCACCAGTAAGACTGGGGCGTGTTGGAAGTACGTCAAGAGTGGTTAGAGTGGCTACTTAACTCAATATCTGTTGAGAAATGACCTCGACGCCCAACCTTTATAATGTAGCATGATCTGCAGGATGTTAAGTCCCTAAAGCAGCTGTGAAAGGAAGGCCAGCATAATGGCCCTTATTTTGCAGGGAAACCTACAGAGATTGCTCTTGCAAGTATTGCTAGATAAATACGCTTAAGACTGGAGAGTGGTGCTGCTTTTACAATTAGTACTGTAACCATCTCAGGATATGCTGGTACCACGGTATTGCGGCCATCATGGTCTGTGGTAGAGACAGGCTTCCAGCTGCTGACTTCAAAGCTGAGAACAGTTTTCTATAAATCAGAAATGTCTGTGTAACCAATTCAAGTTGCTACGTCTCCCCTGTTATAACTGTTGGCGTTTTAGCAGAGCTACTCTTGAAAAGACTACGCATGTATTAAGAAAGAGAGGTGACGTGTTTATTGCCGGTGACACAAATTTTAAAGCCACTGCTTCAGGTAAAGCGACAATCAATGCCAGGGGACAGGTGGTGTTGGAAATAACCTTCAGCTTTGATTTCACCATTCTTATGTCTGGTTACAAGGCAACGTTCGGGTGAATAGGAACCATTGGCTCGATAGTCAATATGATGACTGAAACGACAGGCATATTAACACTTAAGTCTACCTCGGGAGTTAACAGGACTATTTGGCAAATTATCACAGTTTATATAATTTAAACTGTGTCAGT